CCCCTCCTCATCTAGAAATGGGTTTTCATTTTTTCTTGTTTTAGGCCCCGTTTTTGGGTTGATTGATGAGGTAAGGAAATGGGTTGATATGTTTATTTAATATATTTAGTTAATATATTATTAGTTTAAATATTATTACATGTTTTTAAAAATTAAACTACCAAACACAATTTCAGTTTTTTTAAAATTGAAAACAATCTCGGAATAAAACTACCAAACGCATTTTCAGAAATGATTCCAAAATGAAAATAAAAATGTTTTCGTTTTCATTTTCATACAAAAACAAAAACGTTTTGGAATTAATTCCAAACGCACCCATAGTTTTAGAGTTTACAATCCTTACATTTATACACAAGGATGATGGATAGCTCAACTCCTAGAATTACACAAGCTAGGATTGTCAGAGATTGTCACTTACTCTGCATTGCTTCTAGCGTTGTCTGTGAGGGGTTAATATTTATAGAAACAAAAATAAAACATGAGCAGAAGGCCTAGTAGGATGTATTTAAGAAAACTTTATAAACAAGTAAATAATGAATAAGTAAATAAATAAAGATATTCAGTTCTAACACAACAGTCGGAACCTAACATCCTTTTTTCTGAAAGGAAGTATAAACTTTAAATTCTGTATTACAAACATCAGCAAGTAATTTATACTATGGTAAATTACTTACACAACCACAAGCACAAGCATTAACACCACCATAGTGGCCCGGTCTAAGTTTCGGGTTCTGCCCCCGAGGATACTCTCTGCATATCTTATCTAGGTTATCAGCACGCTTACCAGTTTGCAAGATATCTTATCTTAAGAAAATATTCATTAAAATTTTAAAACAGTTCATTATGATTCCAATAGCTAAAATCAAGCTATTGTGTTAAAATATTTTCCTTTATCAATCACGTCCTTTCTTTAAAACATTCATAAGGCCAAAACTCTTAAAACATGCTATCAAAGAAAAAGACAGGAAATCCTACCTCTCAAATACCAAACCTGTTGCTAGCGTTGCGCTATCCTAGCATCTGTTTCCTCAAAGCTTTCAATCCGATTCTTCAACTAGCATTTACACAAAATAATATTTTAGGATTCAATCCTCATTCCTAAAACGAATAAGTCTTAATCGTACATGTTGAATTCCTATTAGTGTGCCTTGATCAAATTCCAAGTTTCATAATCAATTCATGACTGAAATCATCATTCCAAGGATTTTGATATCAAAACATGGATTAAAGATGCTAATTCATCTATTTTACGTTCCCAAATGAAACTAATTTGGGTTCTCTTTGAAAACCAGGGTCAAAACAGGGTTTAAGACAAAATAGGGTCGAACCATGTGTGTACCGGTCGACTGGTCGATCGGTGACAGAGAGGTTCATCTCCACCGGTCGGCCTGTGGAGAAGGGACCGGTCGACTGGTGGGAACAAAGCAAGTCGGCCAAAATGGCCGATCCGTAGGAAACGAGGACAAGTCTTGCAAATCCGAGATATCTCAAAGGAAAACTATTAAATCCAGGTTCCAAATGATAAATTCAGTCCAAAGAATCCGAAATCCCCAAATCTCAACATGATTTCAACCAAAACCCATCAAAATCAAACTTAAACTGAAAATAAGTTTTTCCAAAGGAAAAATCTAAGATTCAAGATAAGTTTTTCAGAAATCTTACCCAAAATCCTTCCATTGACATTGAAAGCTTCTTGAAGTTCCTCTTTGATTCAAACTTCTTGAGAAATGGTGAAAATTTTGGAGAGAAAGAGAGAGAGAGAGAGCTACGAGAGAGAGAGAGAGAGAGAGAGAGAGAGAGAGTTATGTGGGAGGAAGAGGAAAAAAGGGAAAAAAGAAAAGAAAAAGATAAACTTTGAAAGATATTTAGAAAAGTAGTCCAAAAAATGTGTCTCCACACACTTCTGGGGTATAAACATAAATATTAAAAATGTTTAGAATTCTTAGAAATATTTAAACTTAAATACTAGAAAATATTTCATGAGCATGATTAATTAAATAAATTAGATTAGACACACTAATAAATCTCAATTATCTTAATTAATCTAGTTTAATTCCTCGAGGTGTTATAAAAACATTGTAGCAAAAACGTTAAATTTGAATAAGAGAAAACACTGTAGTAATAGAACTTGAGTTGTGACTTGAATTGTGAAAAAATAAGGTCTTAGTGTTACGTCTTTCTGATATTCGTGTTATGTTAAATAACTATCATATCATGTTAAATATTGCATGTGCTACATTAAATAAAATATCATGTTACGTTTTTACTTTTACATGTTATGATTGTAGGACCGTCCCACCATTGGAATTGTAGACAATGCTTATCTAAGTAATCTTTTGCAAGTTCCACTTTTATCTTATGCATTAAAAAAACAGAGAGAGATTATGAGCCCGTTTAGTTCGTTGATTCGAGTTGATATGTGACTATATGTGAGAGTTTTTTACTGTAATAAAAAAATTAGATGTGACTGTTTCTAAGAGTTTTTTACCATAGTAAAACTCGAATCGGTAAAATGAACAGAGCGGCCTAAGACTACGTTTGAGAATACACGCGTGCGCACACAAGATATAAAATTCATTCACTAAACGTCTAGACCTCTTTTCAGAAAATGGAAAAAAAAAAGCTAGAGAGAGACTAGGACTATGTTTGAGAATACACACGTGTGCACACACAAGATATAGAATTCATTCACTAAACGTCTAGACTCTTTTCAGAAAATGAAAAAAAAGAAGAAGAGTAACTACATCATTATCCTCTTGTGGACTTCTTTGAGGCGTAAATAAAGAAACAAATCTCAAAGGAAATATCAATAAACAAATCTTAAAGATGACTGGCACGTACATAAATTGCAAGGAAAAGTAACCGATGGCCTAGTATTGCAAGCCAACATTACACCGTGCTAGTGTTGGACTTTCGGGCGGCGGGCATGCCCGATGCCCGAAAATTTTCGGGCACGGCGGGCAGGCCCCTCTCGCCACCCGAAAATGTTTTTCTTCGGACACGGGTTCGGGTAGCCCGAAAATGGTAAGTCCCCCGACAGGCCGCCGCCGTGGAGAAGCCTTCCCCCGCCGTTCGCCGAATTTTTTTTGAATTTTTCGGCAAATACTCGAAGCTGCCCGAACTGCCCGAATTACCCGAATTTTTTGTGACCGTTGCCCGAATTTTGGTGACCGTTG